AAAAAAACTATATATATATATATATATATATATATATATATATATATATATATATACGCGCAATAAAAATCAACAGCCACAAAAATGCTCGTAAATATGCGTGCTAGCGGCTGCTGTTGCTGTTTGCATATGCAGCAGCAGCAGCAGCAACAGCAACAGCAACAGCAACAAGTGGCAACATCCAAGCACTTCAAGCCAGGAGCCAAGAGATATTACATATATCTATGCATTAAATCGCGCACAGCTCACCTGGGCCTTGCGTCGCGGAATGCCGAACACTTGACAAAACTAACAACAACAGCAACAGCAACTAAAAGCACCGCCAACAGCAACAACTATTCCATCGCACAAGTGTCGAGTCGAGCTGCCGCTGCCTCGTTCTGACTATTAACTGGTTTTTGAGGTCGTTTAGCAGCAGCAGCAGCAGCATCAGCACTAGCACCACCAGCACCACTAGCACCACTAGCACTACCAGCAGCAGCAGCCCGACAGCATCACCCGTTAGCTGCAAAGTGTGAGCTGAGTGGCTCGGCCCGGCTGATAACTGTTTGTGCGGCAGCAGCCAGGCCAACATTCGAGTTTCGGGAAATTGGAACACACACAATTTGGCTCTTTATTGATTTCGGTTCGTTCGCAGTTTTATGTGCGCATAGTGAAAATATATTTGTATTTCTTCTTCATCTTCTTCTTTCTTCGCCAAATACCAAGTTTGGCCGCCGTTAGGCTCGTTAGACTGGCCCCAATGATGCGGCAATGATAAATGCCCTGGGATCACTCTCTGGCTGAAATAACTGTTCATACGACTGGTGCTGCTGCTGCTGTCCCAATCCCATTGCCTCATTTGGGGCATCCAAGTTGCATGGAGCACGTGACGCGCTTATTCAATATGTTGCACAAAATACCAAGAGGCATAAAGGCAATCATTTGGGAATACAATGTATACCCTGTACTTATCAGAAAGGGCATGCTGCTCCAAGTTGTCAGCATTCGCTTATGCCCAAACATTGGCCTATTTAAAAGAACTGTCCCAGCTGCTTCCTCTATCAGTCGGATCTTAGTAGCTACTTCAGACTCACTCACTTCTAGCACTTGACAGGCTTGCTAATGGGTAGACCATATAGTTTATAGGTCTATCGGTAAAGCAGGTTGAGCATAGCTCTAAAACTGTAAAAGATAAGTGTTTTTACTGATCTATAATAGACCTAAATCATTCAAAGAAAATGTCAAATTTTGAAATTTTGAAACTGTAGAGAAGACCAACAGCAGACCCAGTCACAAGCCTTTCTCGACTGGCCCTGCCCGGACTGACTCTGCTCTCACGCACATTAAACAAAAACCTATATACTCTTTTCACCTCAACAAGCAGCATAAATTGTTGAAAATAATTGTGTCAAGTAGTTCTCTTGCTGCAGAATATCAACTAGAAAATTCCATCTACATGGATTTAGTGGCCAGTGACAACTTCCTGTTGCCAACTATAGAAGTCAAGCGTTGACAAATTTGGCAAAACGCTTAAAGAATTATTGATTTGCTGGCAAATTGTTTACAATGTGAAAAAAAAAAACAAAACAAAAAACAAAAATAATAACCACTAACTGTTGTGGATTTATTCGCAAACAATAATGGGAAATAAATGATTTGACAACGAGGTGACTTTTGTGCTCGCCTAAAAAATGTGGCGCGTTGTGGGCGCATCGGAACATTAAATAATTAACAGCTAATGAGATGACGTGCTACGTGGCGTATTGAATGCAAATTGTTGGCACAGCTAAAATGGTCAACAGCAACAACAACGATAATAGTGGCTAAATTGCCGAATTAAAACTCAACAGCCAACACAGCTATTGCTCTTGGCCCAGCCATGTGTATGTAGCCATATGTATGTATATGTATTTGTATGTACAGCACTTATTCAGAGTGATCTACACATGCCAGCTCTGATTGACGCCAATTTACGAGCGGCCAATTGCCAATGATTGTTGCTATTCTGTTCTGTTCTGTTCTGCTTCTTCTTCGCCTGATTGTCATTGCTGCCGTTCTAATCACATGATGATGGAAAATGAATAAAAAACCAAAAAAAAAACAGCAATTTGGCTGGAAAATGTACTGGAAAATTGGCATTGCCAAAGTGCCGGGTGAGTTACGAGTAAATACCTTGGCATGTTTTTTCGCCGCTGTTGATTTTCCCACATTTGAGCTCGAGCTAACCGTGTTGCCCATCAAATCACGTATAGAAATTGCCTAAGCTCCCTGCCTGCTGCCCACTGCCCACTTGCCAACGACGACGGCTTGTGGGCGCATTAAATACATCGCAACAACAACAACAACAACAGCGACCAACAACAGCAGCTAAGAACATAAAAATATGTCAGCGAATTGATTGATGCTGCCCAACACAGCAATACCCTGTAAAAATTGTACATTCTTCTAAATATGTGTGTTTAGCATAGGTGAGGCTTTAAGTAATAATATGACATGCGACAACTTGCTACATACCCTGTAAAAATACATATATATATACTTATTATATAGGAGAATGCCCTATACAAAATTCATTTATATATATATATATCATATAAAAGAATTTATATAAAGTTAATGATAATACCCTGTAAAACATCATATATATAAATAATATTGTACGTTATATTATATGTAAGAATATATATAGAAAATATTTATGTTTGCTCAACTAGCCACAATCATATATAAATATCATAAACATGAATTAAAATTAAGTAACTATAAAATACCCATTAAAAGCAAAGCAAAAAGGTCGTATATACCAGATATATACATAGAAAATTTTGCAATAATTGTCAATAAATTTTGTCCAGTCCCACATCAAGACACCGCTCGCATTTAAGATGCCCGCTCTCTTAAGCCCTGTTAGGGTATATTTATTAGCTAGAACCAAGTGGAGAGTCAACCGTTAAAGTGGCATGCGTTATGGCCTCTAGCGATGCGCCACTGCGCATTCCGATGTGAGAATTCTTTTGGCTTTGGACATTGAATGTAAGCCAAGCGCTTTATTTGCATTCAAACATAAATGAAATGAACACACACAGGTGTATATTTGTGTGTGTGTGTGTGTGTGTGTGCGTCCAATGGCGGCAAATGTCAAAACTCGCAGCTGCCATAACTAAGAATTGTGTGCGAGTACTCGAACTCGTAGTCGAACTCAAGTATTTGTTCGTTCATCACGTAGGTGGGCAACATTTGCAATATTCACGTTCCGCATATTTGGGCGACGGCCAACTGCGTCGCGTCGCCACCGCCGCCGCTTAAACACCTCAAACTGATGTTCAAGCGCTGTTCATGGCAGTCCATAGACTAAGCAATTAAGAACAACTTTAAGCAACCTGTTCAAGCCAAATTTTTGCAGCTATCAAACGCACGTGTGGCCACTTCTCTCTCTCTCTCTCGCTCTGCCTATCACCCTGTCTCTCTCTGAGTGTGTGGGTGTGTATAATAATAACATTTAATATAATAGCCATTATCATATTATATAGTAAATATTTAAATATCTGAAACACGTCCGCTTACCATTTGCTCCAATTTCAGCAGGTACGACGAAGGCGATTTGCAAGTCATTTTATTTACGTCTATTGTGAACTTAACTACACAAATTCAGCACAATTTATTCACAAGCGACAAAGTAAATACGAAACTTTAATATATTGTATTGGAAGTCGACAACAATTTGAATCAATTCAGCAAATGTTATTGTACCCAAAACCCATTATTGAACATATGAAATAATTCATATGCATGACATTCACAAAAAAAATATAAAAAAAAACAGAAAAACAACTATAAACTACGTTGCAGGCGGTCATAAGCGACTGTGTAATACTCTGTTAAGTCTTGGCTATACCAGTTAAGTCTTGGTAAAATCTGTTAAATCTTGGGGGTGGCATAAAAATTTCAATTTTGACACATTCTGTAGACACATTGCCTCGAGTTGCCTCACGATAGAGCTTGGTATACTTGAAAAGCCAATATACTCTTGTTGCAGCTTGTCAGGCAATTAAATATTAATTCATATTGAATATGTGAGCTGACCTTCAGGTCTTGTGCTATTTATTTATGCAATTTGCTGGCCTGCAATTGGGTCAGTTGCGATTGCGAATGCATTTTATAAGATTCACAGTGACTTAATTACATACACACAAACAAGTACACACACACACACACACACACACGGATACACACTCGATATATTTGAGGAAAGGCAGAAAGAAAAACACTCGCGCAGCGCTTAAGACACGTCTGCAAACCACGAGCCGCAGACAAGAACAGTTCTTGGCCAGTTGCTAAGAGCACTGGCAATAGTCCAGAGTCAAAGCTGAGCTCTGCATGTTCTATTCTCAGATAAGCCCCGAGGCGAAGAAAGACAACTAGTGACAGAAAGAGAGAGTGTGTGTGTGTGTGTGTGAGAGAGTGAGAGAGAGCTGCAGCTGCTGCTAGCGAGAAATGGGCAAAATCTGCGGCAATGCTGCGCGACCTGGTCAGGTGGCTTTTTGTTCCATCAGCTGCTGTTGGCCCCAAACTTGGCTCACACTCGCGCGCACACACACAATCACAATCAGACCTAAATAGAAACGTATATATTTATGCTAATGTAGTAACAAAATGAAAGCCAAAAGCACAGATCAAACGACGATGTCAACTCAGGGCGGGCGCAGGAGCGGGCTAGGCCCAAGCCACCGGAAATGCCACAAGTCACAAGAATCACACAGTGCAAGAATGCGCTGCTGCACAATTTACAGTTGAAGTGGTTAACACGCTGTCATCCATTGGCTAAGAGCAATGGCTTCCTTTGGCCCACACTCGTGTCGCATGCAGCTGAACAAAATGCAGTTAATTTGGCGAGCAATTTGACCAAATCGCGGCGCATTTAAATTGCCCAGCGACACGCACATCATGCGCAACTAGACCAGCAGCAGTCCGATTCCTCATCATCTGGCAGCATCTATAAAAGCTAAACTCGATCTGTCAATTGGTATCACTCGCTTTTCAACGCCCTTTTGACAATGTTCCGTTTCACTAAAACGCTACTGATGCAGCTGCTCTTGACGGCGGTGCTGCTGGCCGCGCTGTGCCGTGCACATCCACCCGCAACCACTGCGATGCCGGCGGCTCTAATGGATACAAATGCTGGTGCCTATGACAGTAAATTTGACAATGTCGACATCGATGAGATATTGAGCCAGGAGCGTTTGCTTAACAACTATATCAAGTGCCTGGAGAGCCAAGGACCCTGCACGCCCGATGCCAAAATGCTAAAGGGTATGAAACATGAATGAATGCAACTACAAGTGACAATATCTATATCTATATGCGTGCACAGAGATCCTGCCCGACGCCATGATGACGGACTGTGTCAAATGTACCGAGAAGCAAAAATATGGCGCCGATAAGGTTACGCGTCACCTGATCGACAATCGGCCTGAGGATTGGCAGCGTTTGGAGAAGATCTACGATCCGCAGGCGACCTATCGCATCAAGTACGAAGAAACCAAGACATTGGCCAATGGCCAAAAGGCCAACATCGAAGTGGATGCCACGAATCGTGCCGAGGGCGATTCCTAACTCCTTTTACGAAACTAATTTCGCACAATCACAAAATAATTAATCCCAAATCTATATGCAAGTCTCATTGCACACATATATAAATAATCTATCCGTATATATCCACAAAAACTTGTTTGCGCGTCACGAATAAAGTAGTATCCGCATTAGCTGAAGTATTTTATGTGTGTGTTTTTGTTTTCGATATGCATTGGGCGTTTACTTCGCGTAAAGAAAAATATTTAATTATTCCATTGTTTAACTTTGGTGGAACTAATGAATTTTTTCTGTTTTCTTCTTTTTTTGTTTTTATTTTTAACACACAGTTTGCAAAACGTTTTTCCAGCGACTAAACAATAGAATTGCGTACACCAAGAATTTCACACAATTTAGTTAAATGTTTAATACGAATTTTTATGGAAAATAACCATAACTATTTATACGACATGCACAATCCGTTAGCAAAAGTTCTTAATGACAAAAACAAAGTCTGTATTACTTCATTTCATCTAGGCCAACATTAAGAAATTTTCTAAACTGAGCAATAAACTTTATTTGTATATTTTATTATACTTTTTATTTTTATTTGAATTTTTCATTATTATTTTTAATTTTAATTTTTTTTTTTTTATTTAAGTTTTCAATTAAAAAAATTTTAGTAATATTTTTAATTGATTATATTTACTTGTTCTTTTTTTCAGTAATTTAATATTTATTTATTATTTTTTAATTTTGGTTTTAGTTGTCTTTAATATTTTTTTATGTAATAATTTTTTTTTAATATTTTCTATTATAAATCTTTTTTATTTCATCATATTTTCTATATTTTTATTATTATAATTTTGAAGCTTATTAAGTAACTTTGATTGCTACTTATATATATATACTCTATGCCATAGTGTTTTTATCAGATACTGATATTTGTAAGACCTGATGTTAGCTCCTAGTTAAGGAGGCTATCAAGAAGCAGACTGAAGAGCGAGAATGCATGTTTTAGCTGATGTCTGCACTGTTTTTTAGACAACCTTAACATCTATACAGCAGTACAATTATATAACAAGTTTTTGATGGATGATAAATAAAGCAGAAATAAATGAAAAAAAACTTTAATTTCTGCCCAAAAAAAGAGGGAATAAAAGTATTACGAAATTCCAGGAAGGTTAAGAAAACATTCTGCTCATATTATGGAATGTTGGCATATGTGTAGGTGTGTATGCGTGTGTGTATGAATTTGTATACATTGTTATCACGAACCCATCTTTAGTTTTATTGTGGCACAACAGACGACGCACCGCAACATCATCAACAGCAGCAGCAGCAACAGCAAATACATCAACAACAACAACAACATCATAATTATCATAAATTCCGTCAAAACACACCCACATTCAACACGGCCGCGAAGGTGAGCATCAGCGCAATGCGACATCTGGCCAAAAAAAATATAGGTGTGGTCCAATGGCTGTGCCCCAAACACAGACTTTGCGTTCCCAATGTTTCGCAGTTTTATGGCAGCCTCCAGTTAGTCAATTCTCTGGCAACGCCCCACCACCCCCTACCACAAGTAAAAACAACAAAAAATAAAACGAATGCAGTGGCAACGCCATTGTTAAACGGTCAAGAAACGCAGCAAAGTTGAACGAACTTGGCTCACTTCGATGCGATGCGATTTGGTTTGGTTTGGTTTTGGTTTTGGTTTTGGTTACGGTTTGTCTGGGCTTCGGAGTCATTTCCCCCTCTCCATCAATGTTGGGGACGTGCCCGCCGCATTGCCAGCCAAACTTCCGGTTTCATTTCATTTAGTCGTAAACGCGGCTATATGGCAGCGATTCAAACGATTCAAACACTGGCAAAACAGTTGAAGTTGATTCATTTGGCTTTCAGCTCAAATTCATTTGTGTTCGCCCTGTTGGCGGTTGGCACCGCTGCCTATGCCGCTGCCGCTGTCGCTGTCGTTGTCGGCGCATCGGTCTGCGGTGGGCTGAGCTCGGCTTTGGCTGTCAATCAAATTTGTTGATGGTTTTCCGTTTACCTTTGACTGCAATCCAATTTCCCATGAATGTTGTTGCCACAGCTATTGCGGCCGCTATTGCCTGCAATGCAAAGCTGTGGCATTTACTAGCTTCTAAAGTAGCTCAGTCTTTCCGGCCATTGCACCTTGGTTCAAAGTCAGAAAAGCTTCCTTTTTACTGCAATGCATTTCTTTTTACATTGGTGAAGTGCATTCAAATTGCGCTTGGCTTTAGTAATTTATAATAGCTAAACCGGCAAAATAATTTCAAGCAATTATATAGTTTCTTTAACCTTAAGTATTTCTAGCTTAAACAAATCAAAACTTCAATAAAAAATAAATATTTATGCTGCTTGCTTTTATTCAAAAAGGTTTTCCACACATTTGATTTATATAGGGATCAGCTAAAGCTGCCTCTCTTAAGATCAACAATCTCAATTCACATATGATTGTTCATAGCTTGCCCCACTGTCAGCTGGATGCGTAGCACAAGCTAATTAGGCAAGACACAAGACTATTTAGTTCTACTAACTAACTATAAAGCAATCACTTTTACGATTTACCATCATTATTAAGTGCATTATGCGAGTGGCTTGTGGGGCCAGACATGAGGGCTTCCTGCACAATTCGCAATAGGGGGAATAACTGGGCAATAGGGGTCTTGGCGGCCTGTTACATCGTTACATAGGCAGACATGCTTACATATATATAAATACATATATATATATATATATTTATATTGGATGAATGACCTCGACCCGCCGCAGTGCTGACTTCAACGGCTTCACTGGCGCACACACACACACACACAGGAGTTTTCAGTTTTCAGGTGCATTGACTTGGCTAATAAATATGACACATGATTGCGGGGCGGAGCTGAAAGGCGGACAGTTGGACAGTTGGACAGTTGGACGAAGGCAAAGGCAAAGATACCCTATTAAGCCGCGCATAGCCACGCTCATGATATAAATTGTCTTAACAATATGTTGCTGTTGCTTGTTGCTGTTGCTGTTGCTGTTGCTGTTGTTGTTGATGTTGTGCCCTGTCCCTCGAGTGTTTTGCAATGCTCATGCCTGAAACTTGAATTTAAATAATAATAATTATTATGCGCTTGTAGCGCGCCAGACAAGAGACAAATGTCAAAAGCGAAAAATAAGCATAGACCGCAAGCACAAGTACCTTGCCATCCTCCCCGCCCCCTTCACTAATCCTCCCCTGCCTTACCCTCCTCTGCTCACCCTCCCGTTAAGCGCATCGTTTAACAACTCTTATGAATGTCGTCTAAAAGAAAATGTCATTGTCAACGGGTCGCAGCGTTTAATATAAATAAATTATATAATTACAAGCTGGTAGATGAATTTTTTTTATTGTTTTGTGTTTTTTTTTTTTTGTGTGAGACATTGCATGCAACGCCTCGCATAGTTCGTCCCCCTTTTGCCACTTGCCACTTGCCAGTTGATGTTTGCTGCTTACAAGTTGTTGCCACGGTCGAGCGAACGCCTCGAAGTGCTCGACTGGCGACACTTTAACTTAAGTTTGCCTCATTTACATTCGATTTCAAGTTCATTCAATGGGCAACTGCTGCCGCTGCCTCTGCTGCTGCTGCTGCTGCTGCAATTGGTTTGTCAGAGTTGATTGACTGTCATCGGCTGATTGGATTTCCTGTGAAGTGCGCGCTTATTAGCCATGGCTAAATTATTAACTTCCTTTTGGCAAGCCGCATATCATTTGCCTCTGCCCCGCCCGGTCCGCACCGGGCCAAGCCGCTTGTCAAAAGGAAAAGGAAAGCAAATGCCAGCCAAGAGCACAGCTCTCGATAATTGCCATACAAAGTACACGTTCAGTATTCGGACCGGTTTGCCAGCCAAACAGCTACAAAGTTAGCCTAGAATCTTAATGCGGCTTTCAGACCAACGCACACACACAGAGAGCTCACAGGTGCGCATAGCTTAATGCCACTGACACACTTGAGTTGGGCAAATGTGGCCAAAACTATGCTACATTTAGCCAAGCAGCTGGCCCAGCTGACTGGGTCAAGGCGCCAAAAGGTAGCACGCTGCTAATTAGGCATTACTCGATATCAATTAAGCTAAACAAAATTCTAGAAAAGAACTCTACCCAAACATAACTTTATATATATAAAATATATTATACAGATTGGATTCGTTCTCAGAATCTTGTGTAGCTTAATTGATATCGCACTATGCACAAACTTTATGTAAACATACCATTAATGAAGCCTTTCAAGTCGAAAATAATGCTTAAACTTGGACATTGTGCGAAAAAAAAAACCATTTCACGCTTATTTTCCACACTTTCGAGTGGAATTGCGCAACGGAATTGTTACAATAAGGCGGTTTCCCTATTATGAGTTGCTTACAAATTTTATAATAAAATAAAAGTCAATAATAGTTATGTATATATATACCTCAAATCGGACCCGTTTAGCTAAAAACAAAGAAAGAAAGAAAGAACTTTGAAATATTTTTTGCTCCACAGAAATTTTTATTTTAGTCCACAAATTATAGAACCTTTTACAGATGGCTTGTACCTAGTATCTTGTACCTAGCACCTAGTACCTTGTACTTTGTACAATGTACCTAGTACCGTGTACCTTGTACCCAGTACCTAGTACCTAGTACCTAGTACCTTGTACCTAGTACCTTGTACCTTGTACCTAGTACCTTGTACCTAGTACCTTGTACCTTGTACCTAGTACCTTGTACTGTGTACCTTATACCTTGTTCCTAAAAACTTTAATGAACTTTTTAAAACTTATTCTAACAGACATCGAAATAATTCCGGTATATTTATAACTTGAAGCAGATGGCCATATATATTATAGTAAGCTCTTTTTTAAATACCAAAATTTCAATATAAATTCTGTAAATTACAAATTTATATCACTATAACCATCCCTATTACAATTACTTGCATGAAAACTAAACCAAAAAACTTTGATAAATACCAAAAATTCTAACTGCCATTAAAACGGACTTTTAACTTTTAATACATAAATTAGTGTAAATAAATGAACTTAAAATGAATTGCAAAAGTGATTGCAAAAGATTTAAATATTATATAAATTCTGGAAATGAAATTTCTATTATAAACACAAAACATGTTTTCTTTAGTAAGCTGTCTTAAGTC